CTGGGGAACTGTGGATAAACTGGAGATATTGTAGCTCTAAAACAAAACACAGCTGCCAATTAAGTATGCCATGGTATTTCTTTTGTAGGGGAAAGAAATGATGATACCAGCTGGAAATTATCTTTATTAATTCAGATTTACTTTACTTGCAGACAGGAGAAGTCAAAAGTTAAAGATATTTTCATGCTACGAAGTCAGTAAACACTGTGCTTACTGGATTATTGAGGTTCAGAACCAGGTCAGACTAAGACAGACTTCAGGTCAAAGGTTGAATGCTCAGTGTTTGTAAATGGCTATCCAGTGTCATAGGTCTTTCACTTTGCATTTTTCTCTACACTATATGTCATTTAGTCTGCTCTCTGAGTATGCTCTGCAGTCAAGGTGACAGACTTGCCCGTTGTTGTCAGAGCTTTTAGCACCCCAATAACGTCAGAGCTTTCGCACATAAAAAAACAGATGAGAAAAAGACATGACAGACTTAAAGAAAAGCAGGAAAAAAATCATTTGCGCTTTCAGACAGTCCATTTACGTATCTAGCCTGCATGAGCACAAACAAGACACAAACACTCCTTGGTTTGACGGCTATGACAGCATTATAGCTCACAGAAACTTTAAAAAAAATGCTCTTAAATTGACTTTTACAAAGGATTATAGCACTAAAATGTGTATATAACTGTAAAAAAGTGGATTTTAAAAAGAGCTTTGGGGTCATTTTTATATTAAACAGATCCAGTGAACAATACACTCCCTCTTCTCCAATGTTGTTTTGTGTTATTGAACGCCAAAAGCCACAGAATTGGCTCCATTTGCTAGGAAATAAACCTGCACACACACATAGTTATTTTTTACAGAGTAGCTGTTTGGATATGTGACACTGCTGCCTTGGTTGGGTGGCTCAGACACAAAATGTAATATGATGCAATATTTGTGATAGCCCCAAGATCTCAGCGGTATTCTGCAGTAATAGTATGGCTGTGATTGATGGAAAGCTCAAGGCAAAATGTCGCCGCCTTCGAGGTCTTCATTGAGCAAGCAAACTTTGTTACTTTCTGAAATAAGCTCATCTTCAAGTGTTGACGTGACATTTCAATCTGTCTGTCTGCCTGGTGTTTTTCCTCCGCAAAAGTTTCATCTCTGCACTCAGGTCCCAAAGGTTTTAACTGTATTCACTACCTTGTAACTGCTTTGCATTTAATTACAAACCTGCAGTGTGTGTGCACACCGACCAACAAACACACACGCTAATATCACTCTTATTGTCAGTTTTCTCCAGGGATCTTGGGTGTCTGTTCAAGCCTGGGTTTGCCTTCTCTGTCTCTTTGTGTGCGTGATGTGTGCGTGCGTGACGATGTGTGTGTGTGTGTGTGTTTGTGTGTGTGTGTGTGTTTGAACAGGGCTCTGCATTTGCTTGTGCAGGCACTCTGAAGCATCTGTGTTTACCGTCTCAACAGAGAGCGAGAGATTGAGTGAGAGAGATTGAGATAGACAAACCGTGGACACACACAGACATGCCAGCCTCTGCAGTGAAAACAAACGCTCCTTTGCCAGTCTTCCCACACTCCCTCTCTTCCTCTCTTTGCCTGTGTCTCTTTCTGTCTGTCTGTCTGTCTGTCTGTCCTTCCATCTCTCACACATTGTCTCCAACAATATGTCTTGAAACTTAAACGTGCCCACATCTTGTTTTAAGTTTTCTTTGTTTAAATAAAAGTCTTGACAGCAATTCTACCATTGTGTAGTCATATGACTTTGAGTCACAACCCTGAAACTGAGGACCTCGACTAAACAAAAGCACTAAGTACTGCCAATTCAGTTTTTACTTTAACACCACTGACTCCTAACCCACCACCCCTGAGCCCAAAGTGGAGGCTTTTGGGACCAGTAGCAAACACAAAGATAGAGCTGGCAAATATTCTGCTCTCAAACAGGGGTTACCAGTTTGAAATGATATAAATATATATCATTGAAAATGCAAAGTCTAAAACTCAGAATCCAAACACTATGACTTGGGACTTACTTATATTGTTGTGGGACTGGACTGGGAATTTGATTGGACTTGACTCTCTTGACTTTAAACCCAGTGGTAAGGAATTAGGACTTTACTTTGGATTTACCTGTCTTGACTATGGGCTTGACTGTGGGATTTAATTGACTTAATTGTGTTGACTCAGGACTTGCAATGCAAAAACTATAGGACCTAAAGTTTAGTATTTGAGACCTTGGACTTGACTATCTGGATGTTTGTGAATTTGATTGATTGTGACTTGATTGTGTCTTGGGTTAAACATGCTTGTCTTGAATCTTTTGAATTTGGGCTTAACTCACTTGACCTCAGACTTGTCTGTCTTGAGTTGTGTTGTCATTTTGCAAATATATTATATATGAATGAAAAAAAAGTGTGTGTGTGTGTATATATAGTGAACAAACATAAATCATATAATACATTTTTGGACTTGGTACTCCATTGTCTTGTTGTGGGACTTAACTGTCTGCAAAATCTTAAGTTGGACTGTGTCTCTACATTGACTGTCTTAACTTGGAGCATTACATAGGACTGGACTACCAGGACTCTGGCCTTGATTTAGGACTAGGGACTAGGGGCCTGTTTTGAGATTGGACTTTAACATTTGGACTAGGAACCTTGACTTGTGATTGATTTGATTGGCTGTGTTGACTCGGGACTTTGTTCTGTATTTTGACTTTATGTGCCTGTCTTGACTTGGCATTGACTGTGTTAACTAGGAACATTACTCAAGACTAGACTTTAATGACTCTGGTCTTGATCTAGGACTTGACTGTCTGGACTGCGGTGCTATCCAGTAGACAAATTCAGTCTGAGAGAACACAATGATGGATAATAATCCAACTTACACATTCTGTCTTTTGATGTTAAATATGGACTTAAACATCCGAGTGGACAGTGTTATTACAAAACACATGCTTTTTCTCATGTTAAGATTGCAGCTCTTTATTTATGTATTATCCGTATGCAGTTTCTGTTTCAATTTGTCATGTTGTAGCCCCAGTCTATCTCCATATTCCTCTCTCACACAAAACTCTCTGTGTTTGTCTTCTCTTTAAGCCTGCGTCTTTCTATTGCTTTGTTTGTCTCTTTCTTCTCTCCTTCCCTTATCTCTTTTATGTCTCTCTCCCGGCCTCTTTCTCTTCTTATGCCTTTGAGCAAGTTGTTTGTGTCTGTATATAAGGAGGCGTGAGGAAGTCAATACAGAAATACATAGAAGTATATTTACGTTTGGGTGTTCTGTATGGATGCGTTTTCTCTGTATAGTCTATGAAAGAGCTGCCTGTGACTTTTGTCTCCCTCTTAATGTCCTATCAGGACTTTGGGACTGGGTGTTAGGTCATTGTTATTGTTGAGCCGAGGCAGCTGGAGAACACTAGCTACAAGGTCATAGGCCATGTGTGTATGTGTGTGTGTCTCTGTGTGTTTAGTTTTTAAAACGTCTGACAAGGTCCAAGTACCGAAGGGACTGGGCTAGACACGTCTTAAATACAAAAGCCTGTTATCATCCAAAGCCCCACTTAGGAACTTTGAGAATTGTCCTCTTTCACATAACTTTGCTTTCGGCTCAAGCTTCTGTCACATCTGTGATTCAATGAAGAAAAGGGAATAATTGTTGATATCAAATCAAAGCAGAATAAAAGATTGGTCATACTACTGCTACTGGTGTTGTCTTAATATCAAACATCAGTTAACCATTGAGATTTATGACTCACTCTTTTCCCCAGCAGATACCATATTAAAGCTGGATATGTGCAGTTTACTCATCTCTGCACTCTGGAAAACCCAAGTGAAAGTTCTCCTGTGATCAAATATTCAAACTTGCTAATGTGGTTTTCTAAGTGAACAAACACGGAAACAGCACAAACAAACAAACAGCAGCTAGCAGTTCTTGTTGTACTGCTCTCAAAGAAGCCATGTTGCTTCTGTTATGCTTTCATTTAGCTGCAGACTTGACTGGCCACTGGTGGAAAATCGCTTTTCCCAAAATGTTGCTCTATTGCTTATGATAAGCCTACAGGGGGTTATATGTATGGATCAATGGTGATTTTAAATAAAAAACTGACTGTCAAAAGGTGCTGTGAGTAGAATTTTAAATATTTAACTGTCAAATGAATATAAATTGGACAATTAATTGCAATATTGCACTACATAGCTCAAATAGACAATGACCTTGTACTATGTTACTAAATTGGGAGCACATTTACCAATACTCTGTTGTTTCCTAACAAATGTTCTCAAATGTTTTTCGTAAGGATTTGGGTCTGAACAGCTGTATTGCCCATTGTAAAGTCAATCAAAAATAAATAAATAGAAATTGTGAGATGATGATGATGATGATGAAGATAGATGCATCCTCTGGGCACTGTAGATATCCGTACTAAATTTCATGGTAATCCGTCCAATAAGACCAAAGTGGTGGACCTACCAACGTACCTGTATTTCTATCCCTAGAGCCACGCTGCTGGTTTGGTTAACCAGTACCGGTACAGAACCAGCCCAGATCTGTACCTCACTAAACATCCAACTGTAGGGAGTGTTTAGATGGTGATCTAACTTGTCGGGGTTTTATTAACAACTGTTTCTATTTCAAGTTATTTCAGAAAATGAATCTGGAGGATAGTTAATGAGATCTGACAATATTTTACCATCTTTTTTCTGTTTCAAAAAAAGCAAGCACCTAGCGACAGGTGCATTCGCCTGGTCAGATAATAGACATTTTAGAATTGATGTATGGGTTGCAAAGAAAATGATCAGTCATCTGTTGTGCATAGCCTCTGTCTCAAACAACTCGGAAGGAGTCTTAGTAGGAGTCAGTAGGAGAAGAGCTCTTGTGTGGTGGCATTACAACACACTGCAATTCACTGTGGTCTGGATATGCATTTTCAGGGAAAATGACCTCAGAAAGATCATGGTAACATTTGCAAAAGTAGACATTTGCTTTTCAATATGTTAATGATAAATCCTCCCTTGTTCCCAGATCATTGATGAGGATGACACACAGTTCATGACCAACTGTGCCCCCGCAGTGACAGAGAGCACACCTCGCAGACGCACCAGGATACAAGTCTTCTGGACAGCGCCGCCTACTGGGACTGGCTGTGTTATACTGAAGTGAGTTAGATTTTTGTCCTACCTTTGAATAAGACAGGCCTTTATGATGCCATTGTTGGAATGGAGAGCAAACACTGCAATATCAAAAATCCCTTTGTTTTTTGAATTTCTCCTAAGGGGGATCAATAAAGGAACATCTTATCTTATTATCAGGGGTGGAACAAGTATTCAGATCCTTTCCTTATGTAGAAGTACCAATAAGTAAAATTAATGGTTCTGACATTATTTGATTAATAAGACTGATGCATCAATATGTAATGTTTAATCTTTAACAATGCATTA